TTTCCCCATTGTGGAAGATCTTGTTTGAATGGCATGGACACTACTTACTGGGGTGTGACATTTTAAATAATCAGGACAAATGGTAGAATAAAACAATTATGATAGGTGATTCTAGCTGGCACTGGAAGATATTTTTTCTTCTACAAAGCTGTAACAATTTACAATCTATTTTTTAAGTACATCTTGAGCTTGTATATCCCAGGCTAAGAGGTCATCTATAATCACACCTAAAAGGTAAAGGTCCCATGGTGTTTGCGTTTCTTATGAAATAGGACAGCCAATGTTGTCGTGGTTGTGTTTATGTGCAATACACTAAACATCCAATGATTCGGTATTCGACGGACCTTGCGTATGTGTTTTAATAAGGTAGTCACCAGCTTCAAATTTACCTTGGCTGTGCATGGGTCGATAAAGCCACCTAACAAACATCTGTAGTCGTTTAAGATAATCCTAGCAGTCAGAAGGTTGTTAATTATTCTGAATACATGTATATTTGACAATCTGTCAGAAAATAAATGTTCTTTCATCAAATGAATGAACAACAAATAAAGTTTATATTTACTAACGAAAACAGTTTACGAGATGGCAACAATATCGACGGGACATTTCGGCATTAGCATAATTCTATGTACACTTAGGTACGAAATAATGATCGAGATGGTTATCACATAGAAAACAGGTCGAGTTTGTAATATTCCATACGTACACTAGGTGGTAACGATGCATTAATCTAAAGAAGTCGTTTCGGCAAAGCGCTTTACCGAAAACCTTGTTGAATATGTAATTTCAAGCCTTAAAGATTAATTGCTTCGTCTTAATAGTGATTATCAAGTCTTACCTGAATCAATTATACCTCCAGATACGCCAACGAAACAATGAGCTGTAACCATGGCGATGTGCTCATGGCACCAAGGGATTATCACCAGTGCAATGGCGACAATAAGGAGCGAGAAAAATTGGAAAATAAACTTGTTAATTTTCTTGTAGAGGACTCCACACAACAGGGAGCCAGCAAAATAACCAACATTGAAGAACGTCTGATACAGCGAGGCAGCTTCTAGCGAAACGGAAGTGAGCTGTTTGAGATCGAGAAGGGCGGAGCCAATCTCAGCGAGATTCCATCCCTGTGAATAAAATAAAAAAAACACCCTCTTTCAGTGAATTTGACAAAAGACAACATTTTTTCAGAGTGAAGTTTATGTATACATATTATTATACATGACGTTATAATGTAAAAGAAACAAACAAACAAACAACAACATGATGCAATAACATCAAAATCGAAAGATGTGATCACATCAGGTGACAAACTGCATGTCCTTATTTGCACCACGAGCTATTAGACAATCGACCCCCAAATAAAGTATCATATGTGTGATGACGTCATCACTGAACGACATACTGGAGGCCCGTCGCAATATCGGGCACGCACCTGATTTACACAAAAACGTAGCTGCGTTCATATAATTGCTAAATAAAGACCCGCTAGATCCACGACCCCAAACCTCTAATTCGATCCTGAATCACACCGATCGGCTACACGCCTGGTGTGGTATTTAGATAAAACATCCGACATGATTTTATCACATTAATACACATACACTGATATGTACCGGCTATCCCTAAAGTACTTTATCTGTCACGGCTATCCCTTTAAATTCATGTCCAATTACAATACCTCGACTGTTTCAAGGTAAGTTATAAACTGATACCGCAGTTTATCATATATGTATATGGATTGTCGAGATTCTGTTTAGGGCAAACAGACAAAAAAAATCCCATTTCCGGTAACCCTACCTACCCTAGTACGTTGCGTCTTCCCTGGACATTTAAAAGCAATTTTCAACGACGCACAGTTAAAGTCAAAATCCATCTATATATACCATAAAAGGTATTTGTTAAAATGGAATAGAAATGTCTACCTGCTTTGTAAACCCTTATTTTTTTAACCTATTACAAGAAACAATCTTTTGTCTGTATGAAATAACCTGACCTATAAAATAGCTGTAGTTATAGAGGGGTAGGTACCAATTGGCCTCTAATTTTCGTGGTTTATGTTTCAGTGTGTTCAGATTTTTATGGTGGTTCACTGTTAAATATCTAAATCATTTTATATCCTAATCATTTTTTATAGATTTTCAGTTAGAATAAAACAATTGTCGATGTTTTTCCTCTCCAATCTTTGAATTTTTGTTATTGGTGGTATGTACGTTGATTTTGAAGTACAAAATTTACGAAATATTCGAACATGTGTTTAAACGTGAATAAGGTTATTTCATTTGGTGATTTAATATCCTACTATTTTTTGTAGTAATAAAATCTTTTTAGATTTCTAGCATTTGTCTTTTACCTTTTAGTTTGTTTGATGTTATTTCCTTTTTGGATCACTGTGTGTTTGACCGGTTGATGGCCCTAATGACCTTTTTTTTGTGTTGACGGACCGTTAAGATTGTAATTAAATGGAGACGGATTCAACAAACATTTGTTTTACTACTTGTGAGTGGCACAAGGCCGGTTAGAAATAAATATACACCTTATACATGACAAGGTATACATTCACAAAATATCGACAACATACACAAATGTTATGTTAACCATGTTTGTACATTTCGTTCAATTTATCCGGACTTTCTGTACCGTATTCCGACTCCTCAAATACTTTTATATTGACACGATAACACAAAACTTACACATGTTAAATATGATGCACACAGACACACACTGTACACGATTTTCTCTCTGTGAACTGACTTCGGAATCTCCTTCTTGTTTTTTCCAGGTACATCATCAACCAAAGTGTCCATTTGATAATCGGATGTGTAAATTCTAAACAACACTAGCCAACACGTGTTACACATCGACATGCGATTTGAATGAAGGGAGGTAACTCTAATAATGTTTTTGATGATAATGGAGAGTCCACCGAACCTGAATGATTTAGACGTGTTCTGAATATGAAATATTTCGATAAATGACGAAAACTTGTTGTAAACAAAAAAATGAATAGATATTATTGTAATTTATCTACTCAATTAATTTGTGTAAACCTTTTATTTAATTCAACAGAAATAACGTGTTTAAAATAAGTCAATTGAAACTGGAATGTGACATTTATATGAATACAAAATAGTTATTTTCAAAACAGCTAGCCTGTATAACATTGTACAAATTGCATGTACATGTAAATATTGTGAAAGTATGTATGTATCTAAGGGTGTGTGTGTGTGTGTGTGTGTGTGTGTGTGTGTGTGTGTGTGTGTGTGTGTGTGTGTGTGTGTGTGTGTGTGTGTGTGTATTTGTGTGTTTGTGTGTTTGTGTGTGTCTGTGTGTCTGGGTGTCTGTGTGTGTGTGTGTATTTATTCAGGTGAATATTATATACATTAATCATATCAATATTGAACAAGCAGTAAATGTTACACGAAAAAATCCGTTCAATTTTAAACGTAGATGTACCTAGCTTTAGATATCCCTAGCTGTAGATATCCCTAGCTTTAGATGTCTTTAGATGTCCTTAGCTTTAGATATCCCTAGCTTCAGATGTCCCTTGCTTTAGATGTCTTTAAATATCCCTAGCTTTAGATATCCCTAGCTTTAGATGTCTTTAGATGTCCCTAGCTTTAGATATCCCTAGCTTTAAATGTCCCTAGCTTAAGATGTTCCTAGCTTTAGATGTCTTTAGATATCCCTAGACTTAAAAGTCTTTAGATATCCCTAGCTTCAGATGTCCCTAGCTGTAGATATCAATAGCTTTAGATGTACCTAGCTGTAGATGTCCAAAGCTTTAGATGCCTCTAGCTTTAGATATCTTTAGATGTCCCTAGCTTAAGATGTTCTTAGCTTAAGATGTCTTCAGATGTCCCTAGCTTTAAATGTCCCTAGCTTTAGATGTTCCTAGCTTAAGATGTCTTCAGATGTCCCTAGCTTTAAATGTCCCTAGATTTAAATGTCCCTAGTTTTAGATATCCCAAGCTTTAGATGCCCCTAGCTTTAGATATCTTTAGATGTCCCTAGCTGTAGATGTCCCTACTTTTAGATGTCTTCAGATGTCCCTAGCTTTAAATGTCCCTAGTTTTAGATGTCCCAAGCTTTAGATGCCCCTAGCTTTAGATATCTTTAGATGTACCTAGCTGTAGATGTCCCTAGTTTTAGATGTCTTTAGATGTCCCTAGCTTAAGATGCCCCTAGCTTTAGATGCCCCTAGCTTGAGATGCCCCTAGCTTTAGATGTCCCTAGCTTTAGATGTCTTTAGATATCCCGAGCTTTAGATATCCCTAAATTTAGATGACCCTAGCTTTAGATGCCCCTAGCTTTAGATGCCCCTAGTGATGCCCCTAGCTTTAGATATCCCTAGCTTTAGATGCCCCTAGCTTTAGATGCCCGCAGCTTAAGATGCCCCTAGCTTTAGATGCCCCTAGCTTTAGATATAAATAGCTTTAGATGTCCCTAGCTTTAGATGTCTTTTGATGTCCCTAGCTTTAGATGCCCCTAGCTTTAGATATCCCTAGCTTTAGATGCCCCCAGTTTTAGATATCCCTAGCTTTAGATGCCCCCAGCTTTAGATGTCCCCAGCTTTAGATGCCCCTAGCTTTAGATGCCCCCAGCTTTAGATGTCTCTAGCTTTAGATGCACCTAGCTTTAGATGTCCCTATCTTTAGATGCTCCCAGCTTTAGATGTCCCTATCTTTAGATGCCCCAAGCTTTAGATGTCCCTATCTTTAGATGCCCCAAGCTTTAGATGTCCCTAGCTTTAGATGCCCCCAGCTTTAGATGTCCCTAGCTTTAGATGTCTCTAGCTGTACACACTGTCTATTTCAGGCATCATTTCCTTAAATCAATGGTAAACACCAAGGCATATTGTTAAAGTGAACCTCTGATTACGATTTGACAAACATGTAACTGTCGTTAACCTTTATGATAAACATTTTTGTTACATTATGTTCTAAAAACATCAAATTGGAAGTAATACATAACTACATATGTAAAAGATTTCTTTTCTATTCTGTAAAATTACACATTTTCTTTGAATTTCAATCTGAATTGTTCTGTACTGAATATTCATTAAAATATTCATAATTATCGAATAAACCACATCTATTTGTCTCTTTATTTGTAACTTATACTTGCTGTGCATTCTCACAAATGTCCATGTCAAGTTAAACTTTAGCAGAACAACCCTTCTCGATTTAACAGGGGTTATGCCCACTATCTGCATTAAGCGATACTGATCGTAACCCCTCGAGTATCGAGGATGTAGTGATCGTTACACCTGTAGTATCGAGGATGTAGTGATCGTAACCCCTGTAGTATCGAGGATGTAGTGATCGTAACACCTGTAGTATCGAGGATGTAGTGATCGTAACACCTGTAGTATCGAGGATGTAGTGATCGTAACACCTGTAGTATCGAGGATGTAGTGATCGTAACCCCTGGAGTATCGAGGATGTAGTGATCGTAACCCCTGTAGTATCGAGGATGTAGTGATCGTAACACCTGTAGTATCGAGGATGTAGTGATCGTAACACCTGTAGTGTCGAGGATGTAGTGATCGTAACACCTGTAGTATCGAGGATGTAGTGATCGTAACCCCTGGAGTATCGAGGATGTAGTGATCGTAACACCTGTAGTATCGAGGATGTAGTGATCGTAACCCCTGGAGTATCGAGGATGTAGTGATCGTAACCACTGGAGTATCGAGGATGTAGTGATCGTAACCCCTGGAGTATCGAGGATGTAGTGATCGTAACCCCTGGAGTATCGAGGATGTAGTGATCGTAACCCCTGGAGTATCGAGGATGTAGTGATCGTAACCCCTGGAGTATCGAGGATGTAGTGATCGTAACCCCTGGAGTATTGAGGATGTAGTGATCGTAACCCCTGGAGTATCGTGGATGTACTGATCGTAAGCCCTCGAGTATCGAGTATGTAGTGATAGTAACCCCTGGAGTATCGAGGATGTAGTGATCGTAACCCCTGGAGTATCGAGGATGTAGTGATCGTAACCCCTGGAGTATTGAGGGTGTAGTGATCGTAACCCCTGGAGTATCGTGGATGTACTGATCGTAACCCCTCGAGTATCGAGTATGTAGTGATAGTAACCCCTGGAGTATCGAGGATGTAGTGATCGTAACCCCTGGAGTATCGAGGATGTAGTGATCGTAACCCCTGGAGTATTGAGGGTGTAGTGATCGTAACCCCTGGAGTATCGTGGATGTACTGATCGTAACCCCTCGAGTATCGAGTATGTAGTGATAGTAACCCCTGGAGTATCGAGGATGTAGTGATCGTAACCCCTGGAGTATCGAGGATGTAGTGATAGTAACCCCTGGAGTATCGAGGATGTAGTGATCGTAACCCCTGGAGTATCGTGGATGTACTGATCGTAACCCCTCGAGTATCGAGTATGTAGTGATAGTAACCCCTGGAGTATCGAGGATGTAGTGATCGTAACCCCTGGAGTATCGAGGATGTAGTGATAGTAACCCCTGGAGTATCGAGGATGTAGTGATCGTAACCCCTGGGGTATCGAAGATGTTGTGATAGTAACCCAAGAATATCGAGTATGTAGTGATCGTAATCCCTCGAGTATCGAGGATGTAGTGATCGTAACCCCCGGAGTATCGAGGATGAATGCCAGCGACACGTGATCTGTCCCGTTTTAGCCAAACCTCTTGGATCCTACAAACTGTATATGATATTTTTTAAGTAAGTGTTAACACCATGTGTTGGAAAAGTATGTGTAGGCTCGTAATATTGATTTCTATTTCTTTAATATGCTTCTCAATTCATTACATTATTTCAACTTCACCAGTTGACCTGACAAACCAAAATTTGTAAAAATGATAACAGTTCTATTAGAAAAACGAAAAATTAAAAGAAAACATTCATGAAATCTGATTGCTTTATATTCTCCTGTGCTTTGTTATTTCTGTTACTCGAAATGCGTGCATTATCGTGAGAAAATCACACAGATTCATTTGTATCGTGGTCTGTATTTGAAAGCTACATGTAAGTAGGCACTGTTTCATTAGACATGCCTCGGGCTTACACGTGTGACAATTGTCCTGTCCGAAACGTGCGGGTCAAGTCAACGATAAACGTCACTTCTGTAACATGTATCGCCCGGGGCTACCGACAGAGGGCGCTGTGTCACGCCAAGGGATGTGTAACACGCCATGTGACGTCATATTTATCAAGCATACATACGAATGATATTGTTTCTGAGAAAAAAAAAATATATTTACATATGTTTATATGGTCAATAGAATTTTTATTGCTATATAACACAAAAAACATGTCTCTCAATCCGTCCCTACATCCTCTCTCCATCCATCTCTCCATCCGTCCTTCCATCCGTCCCCATCTATCCCTCCATCAATCTCTCCATCCGTCCTTCCATCCGTCCCTCTATCCATCTCTCCATCCGTCCCCCATCTATCCCTCCATCAATCTCTCCATCCGTCCTTCCATCCATCCCTCCATCCATCTCGCCATCCGTCCCGCTATCCATCTCTCTATCCGTCCCTCCATCTATCCTTCCATCAATCTCTCCATCCGTCCCTCCATCCATCCCTCTATCCGTTCCTTCATCCAACTTTCCATCCATCTCTCTATCCATCCCTCAATCCATCTCTCCATCTGTCCCTCCATCAATTCCTCCATCCGTTACTTCATCTATCTCTCTGTCCAACTCTCCATCTATCTCTCCATCCGTCCCCTACCATCTGTCCATCCGTCCCTCCATCCATCCCTCCATCCGTCCCTCCATCCATCTCTCCATCCGTTCCTTCATCCGCCTCTCCATCCATCCATC